AGTAACGCGTTTCAACTTGTATTTTTATATAAATATTCACTAAAACCATTGACTTAGAAATAAATGGACGACGGGTCTAATACAAAAACCACGAAAAAAATGTCCCAAGTCAACCTATTCGAAATTTAAATTGTAATGTCATCGCAGTATCGCGCTGTCAGTAGAACAAATGAAGACTAAAGTGGAGTGTCGCGCTCTGTATACGATTTTAGCGCCTTACAAGTGCGGACACTTTTTAGCGCGGACCCCACGTCCATATAATTGTAAGTCAATGACTAAAACCGAAAATTAACCTACTACTAAAACTAGCCTACATGAATTTGATTTTTGCCTCACTTGTGACAGTTCGTTTGATATGAAACCATCATTCTATGCGTTATTATTCTAAGGTAACATAGTTGTTTACGATTTCCATAACACAAGTATTTTAGTACTTTGGGATCAGAGCAACGAATGTAATGTAGTCTAATATTTATTTATTTATTTATAGTTCCTGTACATAATGAATAAGTTCATTGTCATCGAGATAAATTAGTGAAATATTTAACATTAGGTTTTAGTCAGTTTAAGTATTCTTTAAATTGTGCTCTCTTTGAACATCCTTCTCATTTTTTTTTTCTAGGTTCCAAATGAACAGTTTTATTGTATACTGGTTTTGGGACTACAGAGTCCCTTTTAGTTCACTCGTAAGCCATTTGTTGATAAAAATTCCGTGGCGGCGACAGTACTATCTGCTGACATCGGTTAAATCCTTTTATGGGGTCTGACTGGTCAGCATTCAATCAATAACTAATAATTACTGTATTATTTCTATAGTATTTGCAATGGTTATCAATAAAGTTGTTATTATTATAATAAATAAGTAAAATATGTTAATCTACACACATATCATAAATTCTCTATAATGTTTTCAAAAACCGCAAATTACGAGCAGCATAAAGGTAAACTGTTTTGTTAGGACAAATTTCTTATCTGTGAAAATGTTATTATTGCTTCTTCGTTTTTCATTCAAATTTCGAACATCTCTGGAAAAAAAAAACAATTTAATTGGACCTCAATTCTAATATCAGTCGAGATGAAGTTTTATTCGAAATGAAATGTCAGTAGCAAACAATTTTGACAAATTTCACACGTTACTTGATATCGAACGATATGATAGTTTGGGCCGACTCTAGTTTGTCCATGAATTAAAAATAAAAACTACGGTTATGTGACATGCGTGAGAAAAGTTTTTATTTGCCGCCATTTCGCCCGTCGTAACAAGCGGCTCCTGAACACACCACAGAGAGCTTATAATATGTGTGTAGATAAAGCAGTGTATGCAATTGTACATAATTAGGCATTAAATCACTCGTATTTTAATCCCTTTCATTATGTAACAGTCACACACATTACTAATATGTATTACTATAAACTGAATCCCATTTCGTTTTTGCGAAAATCAATAAAGCGCTTCGATTATTATCTAAAAACTTTGCGATAATATTTAATTTACGCCTGGATGTGGGATGAATTGGCAATGAAACATAAATAGCCTGTTACCATAGTAACGCCCTATGGCACATTACGCGTGAACGCCTGTTTACCCGTTGCCATGACATTGCGTCATTTTTACATTGATACTTGAAGTAACAACGTCTGTCGTAAATTAGTTGAAAACATGTTCTGGGGCGTCTCTCCGGCCTTGGATTTACAAGAAGAGTACTTAAAACATGGAGACAAACGTGCGTATGAGCTCAACTTTCTGGTCATTGGAGGTTGCGACGCTAGGCATCTCCTCAAAACCCTGGCTCAAGCCTATCGAACCGAAAGACGCTATATGAATCTGTTTGTCGTTGACGGATGCCCTGAACTCATCGCAAGACAACTTCTCATCATGTCTCTTGCCCTGGAAAGGACCACACGTGTTGGCTTACTGGAGAAATCCCGGCGTCTGATGGAAGTGTACGGGAATATCCTGCTCAGACCAGAAACATCCAGGTATTTAATTGCCAAAGCTAGACAACTAATCAGCATGATCACCAATCCAGATTACATGAATTGCCTACTTCCTTGCATTTCTCTTGAACAAATGAAGTACCGCGAAAGAGATTACATTGAGAATTTATTAAACTTCTGGACAACGGGCAATACAAATCAATTTAACGCATGTGAGCTATGGGAGCACCGTGTGAGACATAACCTTGGAGTAAGGTATGACACTAGATTTGGAGTTTATGATTGGGATTATCACATGCGTTTGAAGGAATTAGCTAGTCAAATATGTTATCCGGAATATAAGCACTTTAGAGAACATGGCATCGCCTTTACTTGGCTGGAAACAGAAGTTTGTCGACCGAACGTAAGTTTGGCTGCAGGAGTCTACCAATGCGGTGAAAGATATCTGCACCGAGGCTACTTGGGAGACATGGTGACATCACCATTTATAGCGTATGGTTTAGACTGTGAAGAGAAAGATATGCTAAAATCCGACCACGGAGTCAATTACAAGAGATCTACCGACGTATCTGAACGCAATGTTATGCGAATGCTTTACGAATTGGAAAATCGCCAGAAGTTTGAACCGGAATCGATGAATTTGGAGAAAGATAAAAACTTGGGTATGGTCGTGTTAAATAAAATTGATGCAAAAATTTCCGAAAGAGGGCCCGAAGCGCCTATGGTTCTTCGGGAAGATCGTGATACGTACATTAATGTAGATTATGGAAAAGTGCATTTTTTGTCTCTTTCTGCGCTGGACCATTATCCTCACAAGCCCCAATTTCAAGGATTATTCCATGGTGTTTTTGTTGGCAATAATATGATTGGTAGAGTGAAACCGAGTGTGTGGTCGATGACTCGAGATGACGCAGTCGTAATCATGGAGTCGCGTAAGTATATGGTCGAGCTAAAGAGAGATGACATTCAGGCTTTTGGGGATCAGATTCAGCAAATGGCTACTGCGGCGCAGTGCGAGATAATTAATAAAAACTTCGATCCACAGAAGGATGATTTTGCTAAGTTCTTGATCAAACGACGCAGCTGGAGTAGTGATATTTCTTCTTAATTCGTATGTATCATTAAAGTTATCTATCCATTTACTGTTTCTATTATAAGATTATCTTTAAATGATGTTTGATTATGGGCATAGTTCAGTAGATCTTTTTATGGTATAATCAAGTACAGCTATCAATAAAATCAAGAACAGCAAATATTTTGAGCACTCTTTTTTAAGTGACGGGACGAACAAGTAATAGGGTAAATTGCAGTGCCATTCAAAGCTTTAAATCTAGTAGCAGTAGAGCTTCTTGTGATCTCCTTGTAACCTTACCTATTTCTGCTGCCAAGCAGTAATGTCAGCATTACTGTTTTCCGGTTTTAAAGGGTAAGGATGCTAGTGAAATGACAGACATATGGGACTTGTCAATTTATGTCTCAGAGTGACGAGCGCAGTGACAGTGCCCCTCAGATCTTTGGGATTTAAAGCTCTCAGTGGCACTGGAACTGTTATGGACAGGCGTGTGGCTTACTATCAAGCACGGCTTGTTCGTCCCGTCATTTGATATTATAAAAACAAAATCACAAAGATGAGGAGCTGTGCCACTGCGTCTGTCACCTTGAGACATAGTTGTTGTTCCAAGTGGAGACCCTTGTGCTTGCAGGTTCAAGTGTATAGACAAAGTTGACCACTTTGGATGTGTTGATATTTTGGCTTAATTTAATTGTTCTTATCGTTTATTTTATTACTTACATCACTCTTATAGTTTACATTCATGTGTGTTTCCCACTATGATTGACAGAGGTAAAGTCCTTCACACGCTCAGCTCCTGGTATCTTTCTTTCGTCCGCTGGTTCACGACCTACGTGATCGAGTGGCTTGCACACCGGTTTTCATGGTGTCGCCATTTCTGAGTCATTGTAGAAAAAAACTTTTCTATATTGTATCGGGTCTGGGTGTTTGTGGTACCGTCGTTGTTTCCGATTTCCATAACACAAGTGCTTTAGTTACTTACTTTAGGAACAGAGCAATGTCTATGACGTTGTATATTCCTCCTTGATCTGGTTGATCTTCCCCACGTCTCCCCCAGGATTCGCATTATAAGTTTCATTATTTTTGAAAACGAACAGAATATTGGAAAAAAGCGTTAACTGTATTATGTCAGTATTTGCAATTGAAGGGTAATTTTTCAATAAAACAATCCATAAAATTTGTGTTCATCTATTTTTTTCATTATTAATATGTTACATTCATTTAGTAAATCATATAGCAAATATATTTACAAGGACAAAATGAAACGGAAAATTACAACGTCTCAACGTCTTTTTTTCGTTTAAAATTCGTATTTTTATATTACATAATATCACTTAATTTTAACATTTCTAAATCAGTAGTTCGGCAGTGATGTCTCTATGCGAATGATTGTAACTGAAGAGGAAGTTGTCGTTTTATATATTGAGCAAAAGTCTTCATCGACTTCGTATCCTGAGGTGACCAAGGAAACGCTGGCTGACGGGTGTTGCACCAGTTCCTTTCACAGAGATGGTCAGATTTGACGACCTCGGTGGCCTAATGGTTTACATTGTGGGCGTTGGATAAAGGTCCCGAGTTTGATTCCCGGTAGGTCCAATTTGAGAAATGAACTTTTCTAAATTGGTTTTGGTCAGAGTGTTCTGGGAAGTGCCCCAGAGTGAATTCCATTGTTCTGGTACTAAGACCAGGCAACAATGGTTGTCTGACACATATAAAAGATATTCGTGATAAAATTGAATATCAGTTAGGGGAAGCGTTTCCTGCATTTTTTTCTGATCGGTTGGTCAACTTGGATACGGAGTCCTCGTTCCTCAACCTGGAGTCGATCAATCATACTAAACCTATGGTAATTTTACGCTACTAGGTTAATCTAATGTCGAATTACAATGCTTCCTTAATTCTAATAAAACGCGTATTACGAGGTAGGGTTTTCACGATTATTATAATATTAGGACAATCCTTTTTTTTCCCTAAATTTTAACCTCAAGACTAGTTTCAAACGGCGTTTACGCAGTTGTTTAAAAATAGTTTCGAAATTAGTAATCTATTTCTATATTGATGATACTCGGGCACTTCGTCTACATCTATGACGTTAAGCAGGATCCACACTTTGATCTTTTTGGCGTATTATCACCATTATCGTGTATTACGAGTTCAAATTAGCCAGTGATTCTGATATGTCAAAATGTTCAAAGTGTGTATCCGGCTTAAGAGATTTGACATGCAAAATTGGATCGATTTGTTTTAAAATAAAGTTACATTCATTCGCAGCGGAGCAGAGCCCTACTGTGAGCAATGATGGCGGTGTTTGGCGCCGTTCGCAATTGACGTGTTAGGCCTACGCGTGCAGACCGGCCTGTGTCGCCATTAAACCTGAAATATTTGCTGCATTCCTTATAATTTTTGACGTCAGCCGAAACCTCTAATCAGGGTTAAGTGAAATTGAATTTGACGCTATTTGGTAAGGTGTAGTACACAATGACACTCATAAAATGAAGGGATTGGTTTGGTCGGGCTGCACAGGCGAGTCTGGGGTTTGCAACGCGCGCACGTGACGCCTACTGCTTACAAGCACTCGCTAGTTCAACGCACTGTCCCGTCCATTACGTCACTCCTTTTGAGAAACTGACATTTACCAATTTTAGAGTTGTATACAATACAACTCTTCACAAATTTCCGTTACAATTATTTGCTTTTAAAACAGATCTTATTTATTAAAGTGTCAAAACCCGTTGGAGACTGGGATCTAAATGATCTGAGATGTAATAGATCAAAAGATCTGTGTTTTAGGCTCCCTAATTCTAACTTAATTGCTACTAAATGTACACCAAATTTGACATAGATGCCAATATAAATATTTTATAGTAAAGAAGCAACAAAGGACAAGTATGTAAAGCATTCGTAAAAGAGTGTGTGCATCTATTGCGTTAATATTGTGTGTAAGATTATAAACAATAAATTTGATTGATTGATTGAAGATATTTAGATCTCTATAGGTCAGAGGTGTGTAACTAATTTTTATGATTTGAAATTTGTAATAAATTTGACATATTTCATCTTCCAAAAAGAAGAAAAGTTTTAGCGGTTTTTATCATAATTTAAACGTTTATTTGTCAGTCTAGAGTTATTCATTAGGCGTATAGTTAAATAGGTATGTGACTCACACGTGAACGGTTTTAATCTAACAGTTCGGTTACAGGAGTGACGCAAGGGTTATCACCGGCTTCTCTGAACGATGTTGTTAACACTAAACTTACATATTACACCAGTTTCCATCCCTAACTGGCCTATAAGTGCAATAGAATTTTGTACAATATTATGCAAGTGATTTCGTTTTTAAATAAGAATTGAAACACATCATAGAATATTTTTAAAATTCAATTGAGCTTATGACGCGTAAGAGCGGTCACACACACGCGACTTTCAGCAGTGATGCAAACGTTGGATTCTGTGTAAAATTCAATTGTCTCAATTTCAATTCATCCTTGAGCGGTCCACAGTCTCGCAGTCACACAGTACACATTTATTACATCATTTACTTATTTAATGGCAGTAACATTGTCGCCAACTCGAAACTAGCGAGTGCTGCATGCAGTTACAGAGTATTGCAATCACATCTACCCTGTACGAGTTTATAGTATCTATTTAGACTTACTTAATAACGAATATCTATGAGAGTAATTAGTGGGGGTTGGAGGCGCAGAGCCTCATATCTCCTGTCAATATATTTAAGTGATACAGCCGACACGAGGCATCGGCGTAGAGGAATGAGCAGTAATATTGCGCCGCTTTTCCAGAATATTTTATTCTATTGAGGGAGTCAATTTATACATAAACTGTGAACGTTTTCTTAGTATAGATACACCCATTTCGTCATCAATCCGTATACAATTTCTTTTTTTTTTCTTGTTTATTTTATAAATATTTGAAAATATAGGTTGTTACATGTTTATTTCTTAAATGGCTTAGGTTTTTTTTTATAATCTCAAGTGACGGGACGAACAAGTCGTACGCCTGATGGTAAGCTACATGCCTGTCCATAACAGTAGCAGTTTCACTCAGAGTTTTAAATCGCAAACATCTAAGGAGTACTGCCACTGCGGCAGTCACCCTGAGACATAAGTTGACATGTCACATGTGCCTGTAATTTCACCAGTAGAAAGTATTTCAATACGTAAGTACCTTTAAAAACACAGCAAAACTATAATTTTTTGAGACAATTTGTAGTGTATTCATAAATTTGTCGTCAATGTATTCAAATTTCAATAAATAATACGCATATTCAAATATAATCGGTCCCGAGAAGTCCCGCGATTTGTAGAATATCCACATTATTCCTTAGTTTAGCTAAATTAACTCCTTCAATTCCAATATTTGCTTATTACACCAGAGCACTCAGAATGTGCCAAATTTTATTGTGAAAAAGACATCGAGGTTCTTATTATGCTTAAACCGTGTACCTATATACAATTCATAAACTGTATTTTAGATATTCTGCAGCTGATTCTAAATCATCTTCCTGATTAAAAAGGTGATTTGAGATAAGTCGCTATTATAGAGAGCCAACGCTTTGTTTGAGCGTGGTTTACAGAATTTTATTGGTGATTGTCCTGAAATTTAGCGAAAAGGTATGGTCGCACTAGTGAAGAATACAGTGAGTGGGGTTTATCTACTCATTCTTCCACACCTTGTTAATTATTATGACGGTAAATACTCGTACCTACAATTTACACCTGTGGCCGCGCCACCTAACCTAGCGTAACGCGAATCAAACAATAACAATCTAGTGAACCAAAACAAACGCGAAAACTATAACGTATTTATAACATCTTTCCACTCCAGTACGGGCGTAAATTCGTTTAAAAGTCAATATAATAATAATAGATAATTCTGATATAAATCGAAATAATTTTTATTCACGTTATGTTTTAGAATATGTTACGTTTAGGGCTAGATTGAAATTATTAGTGCACGGTGTTACGAGATCGCTCAATCGTTTTAAACTAAGCTTACTGTCAGGGTAACAGAAGCGGACCTACTAGTAGGGTGGTTTGATATTGGTGTTACTTCAACATACGTGGCCCACGGTTTTTGAGCTGCGACTCTTGAAGTTGGGCGCTTGTCGGAGAGGTGATACGGAATGAAAGCGATTGTTCTCTCCGGGGACGGTTCGGAGTCGCCCAGCTCCATCCGGCGTCAGTCTCCGCCCGAGTGCTGTGCACGGTGCCGTTCTTACCGAGTTGTACGCCGAATGAAATCATCCAACGACCATGATACGCTACGAATGACAAACATTCACACATAACGACGTCGAGCTCGGCACTGGCATCGTAATAACATTGTTTCGACTAATAAATGTTGCACATTAAAGCTTCGCTTATGAATAGTTTAGCTCAATTTGTTAATCGCCTATCTAAATTGAAAGCTACTTGAGCTCCGTGTGTGGAAGTGGAACGAAAGCGAACTCGACGTCTCACAGGACCTCGCCACCGCACGACTTCTTACGCTACCATAACCATAATTCTTACTTATAGGTACTTTAGACATACAGCCTGCCGCGGCGCAGAGGGCGGCGGCACTCGAACGGAGATAAGAGTTATAAAGCGTATCGATTTAATGGAACGAATATAATTATAAACATTTCAACGTAGCGGTGCCCTCCGGCGGCGCGGCAGCCCCACCTCACCGCGAACCGAAACTTACATTCAACAGTATTACGCTAAATTGTCAATACAGTTCAGTCATATCGTTTAATATATGTGCATTTAATATTTCATAGTTCAATAATATTTACAATTCACCGGTTCGCTAACAATAACTACGTATTCACAAGCGACGGCCCGGGCGGGCCTACGGTCGATACGACTAGACCTTTATTAGTTTAGCTACGCGTGAGAAGATTTATTGTGTCTTTACTAACGGTTAAACTATTCGTTAACGTGATTACCCTAATAGTGCAAACAGAGCTCGATACATCGAATACTAGGAGCCTACGGGGTGATCGCGGGGCGGGCGAGGGGCGGGCGAGGCGCGGGCGCGTCGCCGCCTGTCCGTGGGCGCGGAGGTCGGAGGCGCGTCAGAGCTCGGTGGCGCGGCAGAAGCAGCGGGCGCGCGTCAGTGCTTGTACTCGGGGAAGCTGGCGCTCGCGCTGGACGACGCGCGTGGCGAGGCGAGGGGGCCCCCGGGGGGGCCGGGCGGCGCGGGGGGCCTGCGCAGCGCGGCCGCGGCGTCGCTCGACGAGCTCGACGGCGACGGGAAGTAGTCGCGCGCGCCCACCGCCGCCGCCGCCGCCCCCACCGCGTCTTCACTCGCCCACCGGGCTAACTGTTGTTGAGCTTGAATAAATTCATCACTAGAAAATGATAGAGAAGAGGAACGGAGAGTCGGGGCGCGTGTCTGCTCGTCGGCGGACTCCGAGGCCTTTCGATTCGACGATCGTCCGATGCGCGAGCCTTCCGGTTGCAAAAAAAGGGATCGGCAAGATCTTGGAGTCCGCCCTGAGGCTGGCTCATGTTACGTTTGTAATTAATTGCTAGTCAAAATTTTTCAATCTTGGGACAAAAAATGACAGGCTACAAGTGTGACGCGCGTTTGAAAGTGAAGAGTGTAGTCGGGGCGGACGTAGTTTAAGCCAATCGACACTGCCAGTGAGGAGAGTAGGGGCGAGCTCACCTCTCGCTGTCGGGCGCGTCGCGCAGGCGCTCGGCGTCGGCCGTCTCGTAGAGCGCGTCGTCGTCGGGCGGCGCGCGCGCATGCGCGGCCAGGCCGGCGTGCGCCGCGTGCAGCAGCGGCGCGCCGCTGGCGCCCGCGAACGCGCTGGCGTGGTGCCGCCCCGAGCCGCGGAAGCGCGGGTACCCCGCGAACCGCGGGTCCTCCTCGCCGCCCACCATTCGCCCTCGACAACGACTGAAACGACGCCACGCAGACTATATTTAGCTAAACGTTAGGTAGCAAATTTGAATAAAATATAATAGAATACAAACCGTAACAAGAAACAAACACAAAAAAGTAATATGAATGAACATATATAAAAAATACTACCAGCTGTACTACTAGTAGTTACACACGGGCAATAATAATATCCCTTGTTACTACCGACAGACCTAAACAGCATAGCTAACATTTGAACCAAACAACAAATTTTACTCCATAAATTAATACTATACTGACATGTGTGCGGCTGCGGCGTATGCAAAGGATCTCATTCAGCTAAAGCCACAGCCGAGAATGGGCTGTGACGCTGGTTTTCAATGGACCCTAGCGAGTGAGTGACAGACATGTGTATCGCGAAATGAAATAATATACTACGTAAACACTTATGTCTTATATGCATACCTTGGTCCTAGCGGAATTACTAAAACATCAAACATTGCTGTGCCGGACGTTTATTGGTGGTCATTCTACAAAATAGCAGTAGAGCTCCTTGTGAAAGGGTTCGTCCAGAGAAGTACTGCCCCCTTACCTACTTCTGCTGCCAAGTTCCGATTTCGAAGGTTAAGGGTGCTGGTGAAATTACAGGCACACGCGTCTTATGTTTCGGGATATCGTGTGTAGTGGCAGTGCCCCTCAGATATATGTGATTTAATTATTTGAGAGGTACTGCACGACTTGTCGTTCCCCCACTTAGTATTATGAACAAAAAAAAAAAAACTCGTCATATAATATTAATAGGACCAATAAGAATTGTTTGTATTGGTGCCTATGGCAAAAAGGAGCCTCATACTATAATTTTCTCTTGGAAGACTTTTACTCCCTTTAAAACATTTTCAGAAATGGCTGAATTTGTTTCTTAAAAGTAACAAACCATTAGACACTTACGGTGGCACTTCTCCCTCAATTCTATAATGTCTATCGGCTTCAGTCTCAGACATTCTTATGTCTTCGGACCCTGAGGGGCTCATGTGGCGGCTAGAGTGGTGCTCCAGCTGTCGAATCAGGTCCTCTAAGTTCCTGATCCTGATGGGGCCACAAGGAGGAGCTTCATCCTCCTCCTCGTCGGCTGCCCTCTGCCTCCGGAGCTCCGCTTCATGAATTTTCTCCGCGCTGGGAGCCCTTTCCCTCTTGTATTCATACTCTTGTAACGCTCTAAGGTCACCTGAGCCACCCGCTGCGCCGGCGCTTGCTCTTTGAGCAGCCGCAGTCTTTAGCGCCTCGATTATATTTTCATGGTAACCATTAAGGTCCTGAAATTAGAGATTAGTAAATGAACATTACATTCAAAGAAAACGAATAAACCAACCTTTTCCGGGAAGTCTTCTTTGGCTTCTTTGAATTCTTTGGCGTTGGTGGCATACGATGCTCAATCAAGCTATCAGACCGATGAATATTAGATACTATCATAGTTTTTACCTTAAACCTGTATTCCATATCAGCAACCGCCCCTGCAGGTTCTTGCCCATCTGACTGTGAGCCTATGTCCAAGTGCTCCGACTGTGAGTCATCTCCCCACTTGTCCTTGCCATCCACTGCACCATATCCATGCTTCTTCAGGATCCCCTTTTCTGGCAGCTTGGTCATTAAATTAGGTGGCGTGTCGACTAATGCTAATGTTGTGTCTTCTTCCCCTGGAAATGTAGCATTGAATTTCAAAATGACTACAACTGATTAATCATAATAAATATTACAAAAATATTTTTTTAATATATAAAATATTTACCTGAATGCATAGGCTCATCTTCACTGCCCGAATGAACACGTTTCATTTGCTTATGTTCACTGGAAATAAAACAAAACATTTATTAAAATCGCTTTCCTTAAAAAAACCATCAAAACTTCATCAAAACCTTGTAAAGGATGATTAGACAGTAGCGGTAGAGCGATCTTGTGAACGAGTTCGTCCAGAGACGTACTGGTACCATATCAATTTCTGCCGCCCAGCAGTAGTGTGAGCTTTACTGCGTTCCGGTTTTAAAGGCTAAGGGCACTGGTGCAACTACAGGCGCATGGAACTTATTAACTTGGAATAACGACTATAATGTCAGGAAGACAGGCGCACTGGCAGTGACTGTTAGATTTTTGCGATTAAAGCTATGACACTGGAAGTCGCACGACTTGTAAGTCATAAAAGAAAATCTTGATATAATTAATAATAATAATAACGCACACACTCATAGTTCCGCTCTAGGGAAACCCTGTATCGTGGGTGAAATGGACACACACAGAGGTAGACAACCACAAATTACACCCAAACTCACCGGTTGCCGTTCGGCCACGGAAGCAATTAAAAAAAATTAAGTGTGTTTATCAACTTACGAGTATCTACTAGTAGTCCCTGCCCCTGCCATGTGGTTTCCATGTCTGAAGATCACTCGCTGAGAATCCCCGCGGCTAGAAGAAACACAAAACGCATGATATCACTGAAATTTTGACAACAGCGGTATTTGATGATAAGCGCTAATAGCTTCTAGTAAGTTTATATTGGTTAAATTAAATTTTTTGCTAAAGATCTGCTGCTTTTACTGTATGATCTAAACCATATTGATTGCAATGTTGTAACTATTATAAACTTATAAATCTAGTACGTGAAAACACAAACAATTAAATAACAAGCGTGTAGAAAAATCGCGTAATAAACTTTGTGTGAATGTGCTTGGTCACACTGAATAAAACACACTTAAGAAGAAAACGAATAAAATTAGCAAATTTTACAAACATATTGTTGTTTCAAGCATTTTGGGACCTAAAGCTTTGTGAGGTAAAAGCGAAAACCATGTGAGCGTTACATCTTTTGAGCAGTGAGACGTAGATCGACTAAGTCACGTCAAGCGTCGACGTACCTCAACAGATTTCTGAGGAGACCAGATCCATTGAACAGAAGAGATCAGTTTTATTTTCAAGGATTAAAAGGACGCTGTCAATCTTTCATACAACGTACTACACAGTTTGGTTGATTGTTCATTTTGTTACGATTCTTCAATAATATCTATGAATAGCACTAACCATGTCGTTATATTTATTGTGATTGGCTACAATCGCAATCGGAATTCTAGTTAGGTGTTGACTGACAGCTTTATTATTTATGATAGATAAATGATACAGGTTATATTAGTATTGAAAGGGGTTAAAAGTCAAAGAAAGAACGGATTTGTTTAATTTAAAGTAAGGACAGAACAGAATTTGACGAACACAGAAGAAAAGTGTGAAGGCGTCGTACCTAAAGGTGTTATTGAAGGTATGCATCTTGCCGCCGTCGAGGGAGATGTCCTCTTGCGAGTTGTTGGAGGTGGTAGACCCTGCGGCGAAGCTCTTAGCGATGGGCTTCTTCACGTAAGGAGGGTCGTATTTCGGCAGCGTGCTGCTCTTTTTCCTGAAGCGGGCGTGGCGTGGGAACGCACACTCAGATCAATCGATTACGTTCGCAAAATCGAAACGAGATGGACCAATTTTATCGGAATCGAGAACACCTTCCACTTAAAAAGAGGGAGAGAATTTTGACGATGTTTTCGTTTCCGATTCGAGTGTTGAAAGCTAATTTTGAGTTGGAATGTTGGGATGAACAAAAGTTGATGTTGATGAACATTAAATCGTTCAATGGTATGATGAAAGCAACATTTGAAGTCGGGTAATGATAATGTGTTCGTCATCTTTTGTTCCTCGCCGATATGTTTGAGCATCTGAGTTGAAACTAAGGACTGGTGCTTTTGGATATCTCGATCAAAGTCTGATAATTTTATTTGAATTCAACTAGAAGTTACTTTTCGTTTCATTCCTCTTAGGAACTTGATGTTATGTTATGTTTATGGGAACATATAATGAAGATATTGATCTTAGCTTAATTATAATATCAATAGGATCTTCCCTGTGCCATTGATTTCTGAAACCTTCCTTTACATTTAATACATTTATGCAACATCCATGAAAATCATCAAAATTTCTTATGAGTAGCGCGTGTGCTCAATAATATTTACAGGAAAGGTCCCATAATTGTCTTAAATGTAACATTAGGCGTTGCTAACTAGATAGACAGCTGCTTGAAAGAAGAATATCCGTGCATCGCACATTCGCTTCTCGTGCAAAAGTTGATAGAATTCAGTGGTAGTGGTAGTGATTGGTGACGTTAGAGTCGAGCGATCTATATCTTCTCCAATATCGTTACTTCCTCTGGCGCTTTTACAGTGCTTTACATACCTCGAGTGTGGCAATTAACAGTCCACATACTTTCCGCTCGGAGTGTCGTCACGCTAGTGGCGATTGTCTGTAACTTTCGTTCAAGCATTAGAACGTTATCTGAATGATGTTGCCAGGCGTGTGATTCGGAAGATATAGACGCGATCGCGCCGCCGGGTCGCAGTGTCTGGCGCCCGGCGGCGCGGCCTCCGACCAAGAAAGGAAACGAAAACGAGTCACAGTTCACATAAGCCAATGCATACATCCAAGAGCCCAGAATCTTAAGGGTTTGAGTCGAGAAGGTGTCTCGAGTACAACGAGGAAAGCCTTGACGGCATGCAGCGAGGCGGCCGGACGGCGCCGCCTCGTGGCGCTGGCGCTGGCCCGAGCCGGGGCGCCGGGCGAGTGGCCGAGCGAGGCGCGTGTCGCGGTGTACGGGCGGGAGCCGAGGGGCCGTGGGGCCGTGGCGAGCGACGCGGCCCGGCCGCCGACGCGGACACAGAACCACAGATCAAATGCAGTTGTGGCGCGCCGACACCGCCGACGCGCCACCCGCCAACTAGCTCTACGACCACAACGTAAACGACATAAAAACGTATCTCCAACAAAAAACAAAACCAATCGTATCGACGTAATTACGAAAAGAAACACCAACACTAACGTCTAAAATAAACATACAAGTATACGAAGGTGACGATTTAAATTTCTTCTTAAAGACTACCTTTGGTCTGTTTTCTGCTCACTAACCTTAGGCACAGGGAGAAGTTTTTGTGTACTACGACTGACCTGTAGCAGAGAGCGCTCATGGCAAATACTATGAATACACCCCCTACCACAGACATGAGCACCGCCACGAGGAACACGGTGTTAGAGCCGTGGTAGTTCTCTGCGCCCAAAGAGAAAACAGTGAGGCGCGAGTAGCGGGCGGTGACGTCACGGGGGAGATGACGTCAGCGCCCGCTACGCGCGGCGGCGCGGCCGGCGCCGGCGGGACACAGGGACAAAAAGACGAGACGACATGTACACGACACGACAGGCACGAGCGACAGACAGTGCAACAACACCGAGATACGGTTGTTACCTGAAGCAATACGCCATCCAGGCGAACCCCACGAACACGGACAGCACGACCGCAAGTAACAATATCACCATGTTCATTGTGCTCATCTTATTTCCCGAGTGTTCACCTGTAAGAGATGGGTCCCGCGCGTTAGTTGCGCCGGCGCCGCTCGCGACCGACCATGACTCCGAGTAATGCCTTTTCGTTTAATAAATTTTTTTTTCGAGCTTTTAAGTACAATATAAAACTATAGGATGGCATCATAGGAATTTTGTAATGGCTTGCCCATCAAATCTATAACATAAATTGAAGGCATGGCTTGAATTCGATTGGTCAATAGTAACATGCTTTAGAGTCACGTTATCAAGCAGGGGTATCATTGGTACACTTTAAAGGAAACCTGTAATCATAAGAAATCACTTAAAAAATGTAAATTCGTTACCATTTAGCTGTATGTTAAGGTCGTTGCGATCGACAGCTGTGTGTGTGTCATAATGTCATGGTATTACCCAAAAACTGAAAGTGGTAAATTAGTTAACTACAAAATTGTAAGATTAGTGTTCGCCAAGATCTCCATAGAGTGTTTTGTATTGTTGTTGTTTGTAAAAGTAGATTCTCTTTGCTTCGTCTTGTGAACATTATCAGGCACAATGACAGCACGTAGGTTCACCATCATCATATTATAAGTTGATCCCCTTTGGATTTAGTGAATATAAAACATATTTGGTTGCATATGATAAAATGTAGTAAATAATATTTCAGTTGACAATGTTTCATAGCCGGACGAGGCTACAGTGTCATCAGCCATTGGATCCAAAGCGGCTACAGGTTGAACTGCTATGCCTTTTGGTGTGCCTTTCAGTGAAAACCATAAAGCTGTATGGTTTTCATCTTCACTGTTATTTTTTAATAAGTTTAGGATCAGAATAGTCTCTGAAAGAGACTTTAGAGTTAATAAACTTATCAATTTTAGGTTATTTTTCTTGGTTCTTTTTGATGTGCCAATGTGTTCCAATGTGTTTATGTGCGGTATTATAATTTTAAAGCTTTGTAAACGTTACGAAAGTATACCTTCCGACAGTGGGATTGACTCACCATACGGCGTTTCTTTTTTGGTCATGTTATAAGCAGCTTTGGTGGCGTTGTCTGGTGTGTATGGGGTAGGAGATGGTGGCAATGCGTCGGGGTGAGTGCAGTCGGGACCTGTCCACCCGCGGTTGCATACGCATTTATTTTCATTTGAGCAGATCTGAAATCACAAAGGAAAAAGTTTTGAATAAAGGAATCTTCATACAGCGTAAGGCAAATTGTCCTATCCTACGAATTTTCTGTGCTGTTTCTCTAAGAAGTAAAGGCGTTACTTTGCCCCGCTGGCCCAATGTATGTTAGGGACTTCATACGTTTTCCAAGGTTTGTGAGATTTTTCTTCACTGACAAATCATATTATGACAAATCATACCAGATTCTATTCATTCTGTTGCCCGAGGACATTGAAATATACATACTTGGTACTTATAATCACGTCCTTGGATTCCCATTGGGCTAGGCAAAAAACACGGTTCTGACTAACCTCTCTCGTTTCGCTTACATTCATCGATCTTTTCATACAGGTCTTCTTATTCTTCTCAATACCGCACTCGAGCGTTTTTAAGATTCTCACCTCAAGCTCCATTTGATTTGAGAATGTTTTTTGTGGCCGTCCACGTACGTATTTCTTTTCAGGAAATTGGCAGTTTTTCTTTAAATTTCGCTAAATAGAGGAGACACGTTGCCAGTTCCAGATGTGACAAATCACAAGCAGACTGAGCTAATAAAGCGATTTTTAAAACAACAGATTTATTCACCTCACCAAGTCTTCAGTGTAAACGTATAGAAAGGGTAGGGTAGTAAAGTAATTTTAATAATTTTTAGAAAAACAATTCCATGAAAAACACAGTACAATTTTTGAGCAGCTATTGAAGAAACATATTCTTATACTATTTCATATTTGAGCACGTATGTTTGTGAAAACAGTATTGTTCCGCGTTTTACTTTAAGGTTCCATTGTTTTTCAAGTAATTTTATTTCTTGATTTGAATCTATTAATAAATAATTGCTTAATGACATACAGTTACAAGACTACGAAATATCTCACTAGGTCTATTGAATACGATTAAAACATTTATCCGGACATGGCATCTCGGTGTTATGATGCAGGTGAAATGATTGTCAACTCGCCTGATTATAGAAAACGTTTCGTTTTCTTTATCGGGACGAATATGTCGTACGCCTGGTGGTAAGCGACACGACTGTCTATAACAGTTGCAGAGTCACTCAGAGATTAAATCGCAAGGATCTGTGGAGCACTGCCACTGCGCCCGTCACCCTGAGACATAAGTTGACTATATTTCACCAGCACTCCTAACCTTCAAAACCAGAACGATGTAATGCTCACATTACTGCATGGCCGCAGAAATAGGTAAGGTGGCAGTACTTCCCAGGACGAGCTTTTTCACAAGGCGCTTTCTTCATTCGAAGAGGCCAAAATTAACATAAACAGTGGCTGCATATGTGGTCCAAGAGGACGCTTCTCTTGGCATCATAAATCTTACTTTATTATATTTAAGTCGTACCACGTACAAAGCTGTCATCTGCATATTATTAAAATTTCGAGGAAAAGTTCGAGAAATTTAATTTTACTTACATTACGAATAGCGAACCTTCAAGCTCAGGCACCTATAAAACATATCTTTCAAATTACGCGAGGCTAGAGATGCCATAGAAAATGTGATCGACGAAGAGCAGTAACAGAACACGAAATATTTTAGTTTTGCGTTACTGTCGTTGAACTCAGTGACAATAATATTAATAAGTGTGAGGTCCTTGTGAAAGAGTTCGTCCAAGAAAGTACTCCCACCTTACCTATTTCTGCGGACATGCAGTAATGTGGCCATTATTGCGTTCCAGTTTTGAAGGGTAAGGTCTCAAGGTAACAAGCGCAGTAGCAGTGCCACTATGATCTTTGAGATATAAAGCTCTGAGTGGCACTGTAACTGTGGACAGGCGTGTAACTTACCATCAGGCGCACGACTTGTTCGTCCCATTACTTGATGTTATAATATAAAAAAAGCAGTTACTACTCAAAACGACCGCCTCTGTTCCTAATACAAACTCTTAGATGTTCTGGTCAATCTTGTATCGCGACACGAATCTTGTCCAGTGGGATTCGACGACTTTCACGAGGGCCCGCTTTAGAGAATCCAAGTCTGCAACTGTTGTGAACAAGTGGGCGTGTCGCTTACCACCAGGCCTACGACTTACTTTCCGTCATTTGATATCATAAAAAGGGGCGAAGTTACAAGTGTAGGTAAAATTACAACTTTTTAGTCATTGACTTACAAATAAATGGACGACGACGGGTCTAATACAAAAACCACGAAAAAAATGTCCCAAGTCAACCTATTTAAACGTAGTGACATGTAAAGGAATATGAAAAAGCTAAAACGTTGAATTTGAATTGTAATGTCATCGCAGTACTGTCTAATTTTGCTTGCTTCGCTGTCAGTCGAACAAACGAAGACTAAAGTGTGAATGACGCTCTGTATACGATTTTAACGCCCTATAAGTTAGGATACTTTTTAGCGCGGACCCGACGTCCATATAATTGTAAGTCAATGTTTTTAGTAGAGAGGTTTAAAGGCTGTATAGACAAAATTAGATGATTAGTTGACAGTTATAAAATTTCACATGTACAAAATTTGTTACATGTGATTAAGGCACCTATGACGTGGCCGTATGAGAGTACGAATTGTGTTTGGTGTCATTTCACCTGTATAGCCTGTATTCCATGTTTTAGATGCGAATATAAGAATACATGTTTATATTTATATATATTAATCTCAAGGAAAATTTTGTTTAATACCTCACAGTCGCTGCTTTAAATTCACATTCACATTCACAGTGCTGTAAATTGCTTTTTATATGATTCCGATATGCTCGTGTTTGAAGAACTGAATAATAGTCATAATAACTTCAGATTATTCTAGAAATTTTCCCTCTCCGTCTCTAGCACGGGTTCGCAGAAATGCTTTCAGCCAGCGCTAATATGGCATTGTGAACTTTTCAACAAAGTTTAATTGGAACGTTTTAAATTTTACATACGAACGAAGAAATCTGAAATAAAGTCGGGAGCGATTTTTCTTTTTCAACATTTGAATATTTAGGATCGGACGAATGGTCTCAATGCGGTGTTTAATAAATCTTGTGCCGTCTGAATAATGGCCTTCTACCGTCACTGTGTTTCATTTGGATATCATTGAAGTCATCTTAGATAGTAGGTATATAAATGCGGAGTTTCTTTACAAGTTTATTAGTTTGAGTCTTGTTCTATTCTACATCCCATTATAGGGGTTTCTAGCTCGTGCATGCTAATATAGAAAGCTACCAGTTTAACTATATTTAAGGTAGTACTACACTTATTACTGCGGAATGGCTTGAGCTGATCAGAAAAATCTTTATGCCTATTCAATAAGAGCAAGACATCCATTTCTGATCTTTCTGACATGCTTTTTTTTTAAATTCTGTATCATCCACTGTATCTAGTGAATGTTTTCATATTGTTCCTCTAGCTATGACCACTAGAGGCATGTTCTCGGTGCTCCGGTGTCTTAGTGTCTTCCTAGTCGCAGCGCTAACTATCTACCAGCGCTGGGCCTCAATGTGCTACTGAATCTGCTGTAGCCAAATGGCAAAAGAGTTGGGTAACGTAGATGGAGTTATAGTGATTTATTTTGGATATATCAATTTGGGTGGAGTTTGTCTAGGCGCCAGTCCCCACGGTTCATAACTGTTTTAGGGCGAGGCCAGTTTAAGTTATCCAATTTTTGTAATAAATTTTTCCACGGCAACGGAATTTGGCACGTAAATGGTAGATTAAGAGGTTATAAACAGCAAAAGGTAAAGTGGCAGTGACACAGAAAAAAAAGAGAAGATTACAACTATTTACATGGCGAGTCAGTCGGCACTGAAGACTTGTGAACTGTTTTGTCCCAAATAACAGAGATGTGACCACTGTGTCAATGAGACGAAGTTAAGAAGCTGTGGGGTATCATGAATGTGGGTGCTGAAAGGATGACTATCTTCTTATTAGAGTATTTTGGCTGTACAAACAAAATAGTTGATAAGGTCATGGGACACTTTGTCTCAGTTCTTTTTTGTTTTCAGCCCAGGGCCAAATTAATCGCCTTCAGTTTGTTATTCAGCAACTACGACTCCAGTGTTTTCTAGATTTTACCAGTTACAAATGTTATTTGCTCTCACATAAAAATTCAAACCAATATTTCTAAACGAAGAGAATTTCATTATACATTACGGTCCCGATAAGTCCCTTGCGAGTGCCATAACTCTAATCCGGAAATTCGTCGAACCCGTTCAATGGAACTTTGAACTTAAATTAATTACGGAGCCGAACCGCATTACCTTAACTGTTACAAATTGAATCGGGTGCAGTGTTATGGGGGAAGCAGTAACATAAGCTACTTTTAGGTAAAAGCACTGTTGAAGTATGCCATGTACGGAATCATTTTGGTGTCTCGTTTCGGAATTTTGACGCATCGACTTTACTAACATTACGTTAATATTTTGATTTTCAGAATGCTACGAGCAAATGGACTAATAGAGATATGTCAATATTGTGCCATATAGTGGTTCGTAGTTTGTGCTTATTCGAATGACATGCATAAGATTGATAAACTAGGTAAATGTGAGAAGACAAGTCGGTAAGGGCCGATCAAAGCGAAGCTACCATGAACTGAAGAAAGACCAAGTCGAGAACATTCGATGAATTGGACGATGTATCCAGGGTCTCTGTCCTAATTCGAAGGGAAAAGAGCTGGAAGTGTACGTATGTATCGGGTACCAGGATACGAATAGACTAGATACATAAAGTAGGACTAAAGAAGAGTAATAGGCATTTTTAAAAATAAGAAGGTAAAATATTTTTCAGGTTTTTCATCATCAATACAATTATCTGAAATCAAGTACGGGAGATACAAGTTCACGAAATTTGTATTTGATAGAGACACTTCGTCAGCATCTTAATCCTAAACCTAAATCCTTAGAAGTGTTAACTTGTCCCTCTCTATACATGTATAGTAGAAAATTAAGAATGTTCCCGTGCAATTTTCGCCGGCTTCTGGCTTTCCATATATCATGAAACTTTACTGTTTACGTAGTAACGCCGCGCGAGGCTTCCACTGCAGTTCTGGGTAC